TGTTCTGTCGATTTTGAATTGAGTCTCAAGTACCGATGCCACATGTGTTGGCAGTTGTGCACGTTTGCTTTTGTTTATTAGCTCTAAGCTAATAGTATCGTTTTTACCAGGACACCCAGACGGACACCGAGCCCCCGAAGGTCGCCCAAAAGGTCCAGGAGCAGGAGCCACCATCGCGAGAGAGACCGCCACGGCCCCAGCTTTGACCGAGAGCTAGAGAGAGAGCGCGACCGCCAGAGGAAGGAGAGGGAGGGCAGGGACCGAGACAGGGACAGGGGGGACAGAGGGGACAGGGAAAGACGGCGGTCCCGTAGCGCAGACAGAAACCAGGAGCGGCGAGAACGCAGAAGAAGTCGCAGCGGCAGCCGAGGGGGAAGGAGCGAACGCAGGGAGAAAGAACGAGAAGGGGGGGACGACAGGAGCAGGAGGAAGGACAGGGATCACCATAAAGATAGAGGCACTGAGAGGGAGAGGTCCAGGGATAAGAAGAACAGGGGAGAGACTGACGACCGGAGGCATAAAGAGGACAGGGAAAGGCACAGGGAAGAGAGGAAGGCCAAACGGTCGAGCCGGAGTCGAAGCAGAGACAGGAGGCACAAAACCGGGGGAGAGGAGAAGAGCAGGAAAAGAGATCGAAGCCACAGCAGAGAGAGGGATCGAGAGCGAGACGGAGAGCAGCGTTCTCACAAACGTAGTGGTAGCAAAGAGAGGAGCCACCATCAGCGAGAGTCCAGCAACGACCACAGTAAACACAGCGAACGCAGAAGGAGTCACAGCACTGAGTAAACGTCACCTCGCAGCAATATTACTTCTTCTACTCCTGTGTTTTTCTTCCTGTTTTCTACCCAGTTGTCTGGTCTGTCCCTTGTGCTAAAGAGAAGGAATGTTAGCACGTCGGACCTCTGGAGTTGTTGTCTTTTGGCCAATGTAATGTTGCTTTACGTTTATGTTTTCCTGCTATTTCACTCCCTGTTAGACCATTGTTAGTCTCCACTTGAAATCTGAAAAGTGGCAAAAATGGCATTTTAATTTTCTATGGTTCGTGTTTTTGCCCCTGGAAGATATGGGTTTGTACATAATGTTTGGAGGCTGACTACACACGACGAATGGGTGGAGTTTCATTTCCTGCTGGGCTGGGCGCAGTCGCTGCGAAAAGGTTCAGCACCATGCTGTCGTCGTGTACTTTAAAGGAATGGCTGTTGTCATTTTCTGGCTGTACGAAAGTCAATACACACTTTTTAAATATAAAATACAAAAAAATGGACTCATGTTGCAGCGCGTATGTGAACGGTTCAGATTTCAGAAATCGGTTCAGCCAGCACCAAACAACTCCTCCCACGATCGTGTGTGGACAGCCTGAGATCGTTTTATTCCCCTAAAGGGCAGTCTGCAAAGGGTGATTTTTTACCGCACACACTTGAGTCCTGCTTGTGTTGTGTTTGGGTTATTGCTCTGTTGCATTTTGTTTTCTAATAAAACACTTTTACAAATGACATATAGTTCTGTTTTTAAAGAAAACTGCAAATATAGCAGAAGCACAGGTTGGAAAAAAAGCAACTACATCACAGTTAATATGAAATAAGAGGGTTTAATGCAAATATGGTAATTTTAATCGAATTTGGTCTGAAAATATTTTACATCTTAAATATACATTTAGAAAGGGCAGAAAGTAAATACGCTGGACATGTTCGAACACTTCCTGATATATTACCTTTAAGAGACCTAATGTATAATTTACAAAAATGAGTACAAAAAAAACAGCAGGAACAAAGCCCCCAAAAATAACATGCACAACCTTGGTTTTTATTTTCAAGGCATCTACCTATACCTTGTATTAGCAGGGATGCAGCGTTTCATTACACAACTAACATGCACTAAAATCAAACTGCAGCTTCTCACAATAATTCCCATGTTCTAGCAGATCTAAACAGTTTGTCATTCAACAGTGCTACCGTTTAAGAGTAAATCCTTCACATTTTAATCGGGAGGCGTGGAGGCCTCTAGCTTTGTTTTCACATTTATCGTGAAAGCCCTCGTCCCGTTTGCACACACACGGGCTCCGACTCCGGTCCGTCAGCGGCCGACACGGAGAAACAGTAGGTCAAGTTTGGGCTCAGATCGGTGAGAATGATGCTCTCTCCGTAAACTGTGAATTCCTCTTTGCCGGAGCCGTCCTGCTTTCGCGCTATCAGGCTGTAAAAGGGAGCAGCTTCCACTTCAGACCACTTGATGAAAACAACAGTTGAGGATGGTTGTGTGATGTTCAGCAACGGGGCTGATGGGGAAGAAACAAGCCAAAGTTCAGCATTAGTGCCTGGATGACTAGTTTTTTGAATACATTTACAGTTGTGGAAAAAATATTGGATCACTCATGTTTTCTTCAATTTCTTGTTCATTTTAATGCCTGGTACAACTAAAGGTACGTTTGATTGGACAAATAGATGAAAGCTAAAATAGCTCATAAGAGTTTAATTTATGATATACATCAAGCCATTTTCCATGGTTTTCTTGATCCATCCATTATCTATACACCGCTTAATCCTCACTAGGGTCACGGGGGGGATGGAGCCTATCCCAGCTGACTTGGGACACCCTGGACAGGTCACCAGTCTATCACAGGGCTACACTTAGAGACAGACAACCAAGCACACTCACATTCACACCTACGGACAATTTAGAATCACCAATTAACCTCAACATGTTTTTGGACGCTGCAAGGTGGCGCAGTTGGTAGCACTGTTGCCTCGCAGCAAGAAGGTTGCCGGTTTGCGTCCCGGTGGGGAATCTTTCCGGAATCTTTCTGCATGCAGTTTGCATGTTCTCCCTGTGCAGCGTGGGTTCTCTCCGGGTTCTCCGGCTTCCTCCCACACAGTCCAAAAACATGTTGAGGTGTGAATGTGAGTGTGCTTGCTTGTCTGTCTCTAAGTGTGGCCCTGCGATGGACTGGCGACCTGTCCAGGGTGTCCCCTGCCTTCACCCTAAGTCGGCTGGGAAAGGCTCCAGCACCCACGCGACCCTCGTGAGGATTAAGCGATATATAGATAATGGATGGATGGATGTTTTTGGACTGTGGGAGGAAGCCGGAGAACCCGGAGAGAACATGTAAACTCCATGCAGAAAGATTCCAGTGCCCCCACCGGGACGCAAACTGGCAACCTTCTTGCTGTGAGGCAACAGTGCTAACCAACAGCACCACCTTGCAGCCTTGTTTTCTTGATAATAACCAAAATCACTTAAGTTCTTCCATCAATAGCTATGGCACTGTACTGCCAAGATCTTCAGTTTTTTCGCCACCTGTCTCTCACTCATGCCAGTTTCCAGCAAGATGGCTGCCTTTGTGGCTTCACATTCTTTTGTTTTAGGCATTATGTGAGAGTTGACAACTTCTGAGTTGTGCTACGGCTTGAACGCAAGCAGGAAACTGCTCTAGGCCTTTGCATGTGCAGTGAATGAAATGGCCTCTTATATACCCTACAGGGAATAAGCTTAAGCATGTCAAATAGGACAGAAAGTATTATGTAATCAGCTGCCTTTTTTGTCGTGTTCATTGTTTTCTTCAGGTAATATACCTTTAGTGGTAACATGCATTAAAATGACCAAGAAACTGAAGAAAGCAAGGGAGGTCTAATCATGTTTTCCATGACTGTAGATATATGGAAGGTAGTATTTCATTTGCTGATACTTAAAAACTGGTTGGAAATGATGAATGCTGAAAAACATAAATAGTTCAGAATTACAATATTTTTANTGATGTTCAGCAACGGGGCTGATGGGGAAGAAACAAGCCAAAGTTCAGCATTAGTGCCTGGATGACTAGTTTTTTGAATACATTTACAGTTGTGGAAAAAATATTGGATCACTCTTGTTTTCTTCAATTTCTTGTTCATTTTAAAGCCTGGTACAACTAAAGGTACATTTGATTGGACAAATAGATGAAAGCTAAAATAGCTCATAAGAGTTTAATTTATGAGATATATCGAGCCTTTTTCCATGGTTTTCTTGATCCATCCATCATCTATACACCGCTTAATCCTCACTGGGGTCATGGGGGGGATGGAGCCTATCCCAGCTGACTTGGGACACCCTGTACAGGTCACCAGTCTATCACAGGGCTACACTTAGGGACAGACAACCAAGCACACTCACATTCACACCTACGGACAATTTAGAATCACCAATTAACCTCAACATGTTTTTGGACTATGGGAGGAAGTTGGAGAACCCAGAGAGAACATGTAAACTCCACGCAGAAAGATTCCAGTGCCCCCACTGGGACGCAAACTGCCAATCTTCTTGCTGTGAGGCAACAGTGCTACCAACAGCGCCACCTTGCAGCCCGGTTTTCTTGATAGTAACCAAAATCACTGAAGTTCTTACATCAATAGCTAGGGCACTGTACTGCCAAGATCTTCAGTTTTTTCGCTACCTGTCTCTCACTCATGCCAGTTTCCAGCAAGATGGCTGCCTTTGTGGCTTCACATTCTTTTGTTTCAGGCCTTATGTGAGAGCTGACAACTTCTGAGTTGTGCTACGGCTTGAATGCAAGCAGGAAACCACTCTAGGCCTTTGCATGTGCAGTGAATGAAATGGCCTCTTATATACCCTACAGGGAATACAATGAAGCTTAAGCATGTCAAATAGGACAGAAAGTAATCAGCTGCCTTTTTTGTCGTGTTCATTGTTTTCTTCAGGTAATATACCTTTAGTGGTAACAGGCATTAAAATGACCAAGAAACTGAAGAAAGCAAGGGGGGTCTAATAATTTTTTCCATGACTGTAGATGTATGGAAGGTAGTATTTCATTTGCTGATACTTAAAAACTGGTTGGAAATGATGAATGCTGAAAAACATAAATAGTTCAGAATTACAATATTTTTACCGTAACAAATACAAACTCACCATTCATTTGTAGATCTCTCCTCCTGCGTCCGTGTGTCGCCACTAAAGAGCAAAAAGGTTAAATGTTTACAACCATTTCAGATAAAAACACAGATTGCTCCTCACCCCACAATCGCACAGCTCTTACCGGTCGTGACTCTTGTTTCTTCACTTTCTCCGGCTGCGTTGCTGGCTGTGATCACCAGATCGTTGGAAGCGATGTTGGACAGAGAGCAGGAGAGCCCCGCCACGCTGCACAGCTGGGTCCTTGGTGTGACGCTGTTGTCGTACACGGTGTACATGGTGGCAAACACCGAGGCGCTCCATGAGACTGTGGTCAAGGAGCTGCTGTTGCTGTACACCACTCCTGCTGGTGGACAAGGAGCTGAGAAAGGAGAGATTGAAGTTAATGGTTTATTTTCCTTTAAATAGACACTCTACTAAACTGAAAGTACCAATACTGCAATGTAAGAAGTCCGAAGCACATAAGTAGCAACAGCAAAATGTAGTCAAATTATTAAAAGTATTAGTTTGGTCCCTCTGACTGATACATTAATATATATGACTTCATTAGATTATCAGCCGTGAAGCATCAGCATGTTGTAGCTGCTGCAGGTGGAGCTGCTTTGAACTACTTTATGTACAGTTAAGAGGGTTCATGTAAGTAGTTCTCATACAAAAATCAGTTTTTAGTTGTTGGTCTTCTTTAATCTTTGTTTGTTTGCTGCAATATTATTGTAACATTTATTGAAAAATCACGATCTGGCGGCGCTGTTAACAACTCACAGGCTTCTGAAATGTGAGTCAGAATTCTAAAAGTTTGGAAACCACTGATTTTAGATTTAACAATGTGCTTAAAGAGTGAAGTAAAAAGTCCCATATTTCCCTCTGGAATGAAAGTAGAAGAAAATGGAAATAGTAAAGTTCAAGCACCTTAAATTGTACTTGAGTAAAGTACTTGATAAATATACTTTTCTACTATTTCCTACAGTCCGGCTCTACTTTGCTACAATAACACCAGATTAGCATTAATATGAGCTACGATGTTTCCTTTATTTTTATTCCTGTTGACGTCTGTGTATAAGAAGTGAAAATGGCAGCTGTAAAAATGGTCTGCAGCGAGCTAAGTGCAGCCTTATTTACTTTTAATCAATAAATACTATGCTAAGTTAAAGGCATTTATATTCAGCCTGGTGTTTAATAGGATGTGTCTGAAGAATTACTCGAGTACAGTGTGTGGTCTACCTGTTGTTCCACTGAGAGGAACTGATTTGCTGCTGGTGCCTGCACTGTTCCTGCTCTGCACTGTGGCGTCATAGGATGAACCACAGGGGAGAGGAATCTCAAAGTTTGTCCTGCTTGTCCAGTAGGAGGAGATCTCAAAGAGCGCCTGGCTGTCTCCCAGCAGACTCCCCGTTAAAGCCAGCAGGTAGTCAGTGTTTCCACAGCTGACTGCTGTCCAGCTGAACTGCATCACCTGGATCTCCATCTGCATCGGCAGCAGCTGCACCTCGATGGCATCTGGAGGGCAGGGAGCTGATGGAGCGAGAGGAGAACGCTGATTTATTAAGGTGTTAATATTACAAAGTTATTGAGAGTCTGATGAGTCGTGCTGCTCTTGTACCTGCTCCTCCCTGCAGAGGGTCACTGGAGGAGCTGTTGCATGTTCCGTCTGAGGCCTGCACAGAGAAGTTGTAAACAGTGCCACAGTCCAGACTGTTGATAGTACAGGAGGGGTTTGTGCTGTGACAGTACAGCATGTCTCCATTTCCAGCCTGGGCACAGCCATAATAGTCTACAGCATTATCACTGGGCGTCCACGTCAGCGTCGCAGACTGATTGGTACAGTGGAAAGTAAGTGAGAGTCCACTTGGCTGGCAGGGACCTTGAGAGAAGGACAATTGAGTTAGTTTTAACATTGATTACATTTTTCAGTCACTTGCACTGATGTCCTGTGTGTCTGAAAACCCAAACCTGTGTTCACTGTTGTGTTTTGACTGGCTTTGCTGGAGCAGTTTTCGTGGCTAGCGGTCACAGATACTGTGTACTGCTGGTCACACTGGAGCTCTGACATGCTGCAGTTACTGGAGGAGGTGTTGCACGTGCGCACATGCCCGTCTGTAGCCACAGTCACCACGTGGTATGTTTCAGCTACCGGAGAGGGAGTCCAGGACACCAGCGCCCTGCGGTCCTCACAGGAGGAGTTCACCATCACGTCTCTGGGTGGACAAGGCTCTGTGAATAAAGACAAGAGTCAAGTCAGAACTAGTGGGCTTATCTTGAAGTCTGGATAACAGATTTTCTAATTAGACCAGAATTTTAAAAGAGCTTTTTACCATCTAGTGTTTTATAATCCAGGGTTAGGGACCCCTCCAGTGGGTCATAACATAAATGTAAGTTTCTCAACTTTCCTCCAGGCTGATCAGGTCGCCTGGATGACACCATATGAAGATAAAACAACTCTAAATACCCTCTGACCTCAGGTTCTACCCCCTGTGTCATCAGATGAATGAAACTACCATGAATGATGGTTCATGATCTTTATGACTGATGAAAATCAAAAAAGATTTAAAAATATCTGTCATAAGTTAAAACAGTTTTGGCGATTTTACACGACCGAGTTCTGTATTTTTTTTCTTGTGCTCTTTACTGTAAATCAAATCACATCAGACAATCTTACTGAAACAGATGAGTATTAAACCTATTTATACATAAGATGTGTTTTTGTAAATAGAGCTGTTTTTATGTGACAGAGAATCCTAAAGATTTTTTTAAATGAATAGTTTCACACAGGGCCAAGGAAAAACTCCTGCACATAAACTCCCCCAACGTGTTATTTTTACACTTTAATATTTTACTCGGTGAGATGTGCAGCCTCTCGCAGGTGCATTTTGTTGCCTTTGGACAGAACCAGACTGGCTGTTCTGCCTCAACAACAACACATTTATTTATTCATAATTTAGTTACTGTGCAGCAAACAAACTTCCAGAGCAAACCAGACCTGTTCTGACTCTGACCACCTTTAAATCCAGGTTAAAAATTGTTGTACATGTTGTGTTTGTATATTTCTGCCTGTTATTAAATGTCTTAATACAATATGTAAAGCACTTTGGACATATTTCCCATTTGATCTACACTCCACTGTTCTGTGCAGATGCTGTGTAATTCCAGGGCGATCGAGAAACAGCAACACAATGTACCCATGCTGACTCGGTAGGGTGGACTTCTCATGCTGCTGCAGCGGTCCGATGAAGCGGCTACAATGATGGTGTAGTGGAGGTCACACTGTGCTCCGTGGAGGTAGCAGCTGGTCCCGGTGCTGTTGCAGCTCAGGTAGGTGTGGTCGCTGGCTTCTGCCGTGGCGATGTACAGCGTGCTCCCCTCGCTGCCCTCCATGAGCTCCCATATGACGAGGATGGTGGAGTTGTGACACTGAGTGAAGGCGGTGATGCCGGAGAGGGAGCAGGGTGCTGGGTAGGAGAGGCAGGAGTTTAACAGCTTAGCACTGCAGGGTGAAGAAATTCCTAAAACGACTGCCACGAGGACTTCAAATACCTGTCTGCAGCTCGATGGCGGCACTCGGCGGACTGTCACACCTGCTGTTTTTAGCAGTGACGCTGAAGTTATAAAGCACGCCGCAGGCCAGGTCCTCCACCTCACATACAGTGGCGTTGGACGTGGTGCAGTTGGCCGTATGTTCCTCTCCACCTGCAGCTGACACGAAGTAGCTGTCCACCCCAGGAGCAGCATCCCACGTGATCCAGGCGGAATTGGTCACGCAGTCGAGGCGGCCCGTGAGTCCCTGAGGCTGGCAGGGAGCTAGAAAGTAAACATCAAAGTTAAACCTGAGGCCGGATGGAAGCGTTTATGCATGGCTTTTGAAATGTTCCTACCTGACTGGATGCTCTGGGTCAGACTGTGTCTGCTGCGGCAGTCGCCTCTGACTGAGCTGACGTGAACTGTGAATTTATCTCCGCATGTGGCGTTGCTGATGGAACATGCAGTGTTTGTGGTGTTGCATAATTCGCTGGTTCCTCCGTTCTCCGCAGTTATTGAAACCAAGAAGTGGTCAGCATCTCCAACGGCATCCCAAGAAACTGTCATGTCATTGGACGAACAGCTGACCTGGGCGTTCACGTTCTGTGGCGGGCAGGGGCCTGAGAGTACAGAGACAACATGACGCCTCAGCTACCAGCTTCATATTGAGAATGCTTGGTCAGTTCCCCGTGTTGCATCGCTCACCTGAGTTGAACACCAGAGCCTGGCTGGGGATGCTGGAGCAGTCGTCGTCCATGGCTACGACCTGAACGGTGTAGCTGCTGCCACATGTGAGGTTTCTGAGGCTGCAGCTGAGGCCGGAGCTCTGACAGCTGTCGTTGCTATGACTACCTAGAGCTGTCACCGAGTACTGCACGGCTCCGCGGCTGGCAGACCAGGACACAGCGGCAGTGTTGTTGGCGCAGTCCATCACCACGAGGACGTTAGTGGGGACACATGGCACTGTGGAGAAAGTACAGACAGCATAGAGTGAGGAAGACATGACGCAATATTGCATTTATTCATTCCACTGTGTTTACCTAATGGTCTCTATCTATAACACACACACTGTAACACAGTATGGAGGATGAATTTGGTCAAAATTATTATACCCTGCAACTGCTATACTACACTATGATTTAAAATTGACAATATATCGTTGTAATTCTATTTCTAAATATTTGTTTAATTGCAGTGGTGTGATATTTTTTTCAACATAAATCCATTGATTTTATAGGTGGGCTTATTATTTTTTTTTTTTTAACATTCACAGTCCTTTAATTATGCAAGATTTTAATGCAAAGTTACAAACAAAAACTCCTTCATTACACCTAAATTAACTAGTTAATGAAAAAGAAAATTAACAGTTTATTGCGGCAAATAAAAACCCAGATTACTAGATTAGAAACAACAGTTTGACATTTTTAAAAAATGTTTTTGTTTACATAAAATTATATAAAATATTATACGTTTTCTGTGATTTTGAAGCCTGACTATCTGTATAATAGCAGGATTTGCCCATATCTTCAGAAAATGTATTTTTACACATGCAAATATCCTTCAATTTAACATTAAAAGCCAAAAAATACTCATGATATAATATAACCTAAAAACTAGAAACTATATTTTAAACATGGAAAATGAATGCATTCATGTGAAATGTTTATTTTCTGTTATTTTACAGTTTTTTTGTCGTTGTATTTTCCTCACAGTTTGGCATAAGACTTATTATTTTAACTGTAGCTTGCCAGAGATTCATGAAAACAACATTATCCCCACAAATGTTCCAAGCTGAGAGGAAAGATTCATAATAAATAGCCCCAATAGAAAGTACCTTTTACACAACTGGGCCCCTGAAAGTATAACAAATCCACCAAAATTCCTGTTCAAATTCCGTCAGTACAGAAAAATCCATGGCAGATGTGAAGATTAGGTCCAGTTTATGATCAGATTGCTGATGTGACATTAAGAACAACATATGGTAACAATACCACACATGCGTTTTCCCTCCCAGCAGCCCTCTAATTCTCACCTGACAGCAGACTAGTGGTTTGGCTGGAGGTGACGTTACACTGCTGGTTGGAAGCTGTGACTGAGACGGAGAAGTTGTGTCCACACGCCAGCCCAGGGATGCTGCACTGACTAGTTTCCGACATGCACATTTCTGTCGGGCCAGCGTTGGTCTGCATGATGGCTGAGTAGTAGTCGGACCCATTGCTGGGCTGCCAGGTTACCATGACAACACCAGAGAGGCAGTCCTGCCTGGTAGAGACTCCCATGGGCGGACACGGCCCTGGAAAGAAGACACAAAAGTTAATTTTAGAGCTCACTTCTACTGCTATGTTTCAATCATTTTTAATAGTCATATCCAAAGTGTACACACAGGTTTGTACGAAGGCGGATGCGCTGTAGTTGCCGGGACAGTGCTGGTTGTGAGGTGTGACTGTGAGGTTGTAGTTTTGTCCGCAGGTAAGTTCAGAGAAGGTTGCTGTGGTGACGTTAGTGCTGAAATGGACTGATGTGTCTCCTGCCTCAGCAGACACCATGTACGTCTTTGTCCCGTTGCCGGCGTTCCAGCTCAGGGAAACCTCGTCAGCATTACAGTTCACAGCGGCGGCCAAATTCTGGGGCACACAGGGATCTGGAAAGATGGAAGATAATGAAGAGGATGCAACAGAGGTCATCGGATACATGCTGTTATTTGGAAACTGCTTTTATTTTTTGGGTCCATAAAGTTATAAAGTATGGAACATCAATTATAATTTTAATGTTATATATATCATTGATCGGTGTAGATTAACTGGCACCATTTTTCTACAGACATTATTTGCCAGTTACAGACCTATAAATGAAAGTTTGGCGACTCCCCATCACGTACCCATATGGATGACGGAGCTGTTGCTCGGCAGGCTGGTGCAGCTGTCGCCCTTCGCCCTCACCACAACAGTGTACTCCTCGCCGCAGTGCAGGTCGCTCCAGGTGCATGAGGTGGTGTTGGTGAGACACTGGTGAGGGTGGCCGTCAAGGCCTGTTGCTACGGCAACATACTCTTCAGCGCCGTCACTGGGCCCCCAGCTGACAGAGCCCACGTTAAACTCACACTCTACGTAGGTCGCCACATCCCAGGGGATGCAAGGGGCTGGAGACGGACATGACAGCACCTTTAAAGCATACATATGAGGTCCAAAAATAATGTGCATGTGATGTGAAATATAAAATCGTACTGGTTTTGAAGAAGGCAGGACTGCTGGGGCTGCTGTCACACTCGCTGCCCCGTACTTGCACGGTGACGCTATAGTTCTGTCCACACGGTAAAGTGGCTGACAGGAGGGTTTGGGTTGTGTTGTGGATCTCCACATAGCCCAGGCTCCCGGTGGCTGTAACCAAGTAGCTCAGTACGTCGTTCGCTTGGTTCCAGGAGATCTGGACCTCGTCACTCTGACACACTGCCTGAGCTGAAACAATCACAGGCTGGCAAGGCTCTGAGAGGAGCAAGAGAGAGAAAAGAAGATGATGACCAGAAAGGAGGAGGGCGAGAAGTAACAGCAGTATTCATAGCTTTGACCTATTAGATGATTAGCAGATGATTTTATCATGTGCTAAATAAGTATAAATGAATCAGTTTTTTATTCTTGTGCACATCTGTTTTGTTGTTGACTGGTTTCTGCTTTAATAATCAACTTATTGTATCAGTAATAGTTGCAGGAAAATGGATGCAATATAAGGGCTTGTCTGCTTTTCCTCATTTTGCATTATTGTAGATAAAGTATGTTCTTTTTTGGGGGGGGATTTTTTTTCTGACATTCTCCATAATAAATGATAATAATTTATATATTTATAATAATACTTTTTGTGACATCAGAGTTAAAAAATATATACCATTATCACAAAATTGTCCTTATAGGTAAGTATCAAAAGTAATAGTAGTAGTTTTGTGCAGAAAAGTGTTATGTTATAATTGTATTATATCAATGTTTTAGCACTGTTATGCTGCCATTTTTAAGTAAAGCTTAAAGGTAACAGCTGGAGGAATTGGCATTAAATCTAAATGTAATACTTTATATTCTTTAATTAATCTACACGACATCATGTGTATTAAACTGCTCATTTGTACTATATTAAAAAAATCCCCATATTTCCCTCTAAAATGTAGAGAAGTAGAAATATATGTTGGGGAAGAAATTGTTCAAAACTGCACTCAAGTACAGAAAAATACTGAAATCACACTAATCTGATACACAAAACCAGTTCATCTTCAGAAGTACCTGTTTGGATGAATGCCGTGGTGCTGGCTTGGCTCCTGCAGCCTTGAACGTGTGCTGTGATGGTTAAGTTGTACGTCTCCCCACAGTCCAGACCGGCGAACTGACAGCTAGAGCCTGTAGAGTTACACTTTCTCACTTCTCCTCCCGAGGCCTTGACGGCGCTTCCAACGTACAGCTCGACATCAGACCTCTCTTCCCAGGACAGGACGGCAGTACGAGAGCCACACTGCAGGTTGGCAGCTACACGCCGAGGAGGGCAGGGTCCTAAGAACGACGTGGAGGGAAGGATTGTGTGAGATCGTAAATGAATGAAACACAGAGTAGGATGATTGAGCGTACAAACTCACGTGTGGTGAGGTTGGCGTGTGTCTGTGCCGTGAGGCTGCATTCCTCATTGCTGGCGGTGAGGCTGAGATTGTAGGTTTCCCCGCAGCTTAAACCCGTCACATTACAGGCCCCCTGCTGAGTTGTGCACAGAGTTTGAAGGTTTCCAACAACCACAGCCATCAGGGAGTAGTTTGCCGTGCCATGAGTGGCGTTCCAGGACACCACAGCTGCACCGTCGGAGTTACAGTCGACGTCTACCTGTATCTCCTGAGGCAGGCACGGAGCTGAGGAAACAGGATGAGTTAAATAATGATTGAAACCCCAAAACAGACAGATGATCACACACTGGGTGTTTCTTTACCTGATGTAAGAGAGACCACAGAGCTGTCAGAGCTGTTGTACTTCTGTCCTAACGCCTTCACCCAGACGCTATAAACTGTGCCGCACATCAGCCCCGAGACTGTACAGAAGGTATCTGTGTTTGTGCTGGTACAGGAGGTGTCGTGTCCATTTCGGTTGTCAAAGTAGGCGACGTAACCCACGGCGAGGTCGCTCTGCTGCCAGGACACAATGGCGGCGAGCTGCTCACACGCCATGCTGGGTTGAACGCTGGTAGGTGGACAGGGTTCTGAATGAAGTGGAAACATGCATCATTTAATCAGAAATGATAGAAATACAGAGACTTGAGGTGTTACACGTCCTTCCTGATCGAACCTGTCATGAGGCGGTACGCAGCAGAGGTCACGGTGTTGTTGCAGGCCTGGTTGTGTGCCTTCACGGTGACGTTGTAGATCTGACCACACTGCACACCCATCAGGAAGCAGCTGGTGTTGGTGGTGTTACAGATGACCGTCAGGCCCTGGGCGGTCACAGCCTCCACAGAGTAGGATGTGGCTCCACTTGCTGCGCTCCACGTCGCCTGGGCGGTGCTCACGTTGTAGTGAACAGACACATTCATAGGAACACAGGGCTCTGGGGGGACAAAGAGTAATATCTGCTAGAAACACAATTCTTGAGATGCTACAAGCTCTAACAGGTGAACATCCTGTACTGTACCTGTGCTGAGGTATCCTGTCATGACGGCGCTGCTGTTACAGATGTCTCCGAGAGCCATCACAGTGACATTGTATTCCTGTCCGCACTGCAGGGGGCTCGGCTCGCAGTTGGTGTGGTTGGTGATGCAGCTGGAGATGTGGCCTGACGAAGCTTTGAGCGCAGCAACATAGAAATCGGCTCCAATGGCGGGCAGCCAGGACACGACAGCAGAGCGGGCCTGGCAGTCAACAACGGCTTCGATGCTGCTTGGTTGGCAAGGTCCTGTGGGATTAATAAGAACATGACTTATAGCTGAATATAAAAGTACATTGTAGCAGCAATAATGTCTTAAATATTGCACAAGAAACTAAAATTGTGATTGTTACTAATCGTTCACAAATTCAAGACTGTTATAGTCCAAAAAACAAACAGACAAAAAAAAAAAAAGTGATTTTTAGAAGCATATTGGCACTTTGTCAGAGACTGGCATTTAGAGGTATAGCATTTTAGAAAATAAATGAATATTTGGTAGCTAGGTCAAAGTGGAAAATGAAATTAAAATCAATTTTTTAAACTGATACTGCACAAAAAATACAAATGCATGAAAATCAATATTGTTGTTAATCATGGACATATCCCAGACACTGGTGATGAACAAAAACATTTTCCCCAGCATTTAGTATATGAAAAATAATACATTTCATGTGTTTTCTTAGTTTGCTTTAAAAACAACAACAACAACAACAAATACATGTAAACACGCTGGCATTTTAAAGAGTTGTAATTCTGAAAATAAATGATTTTTTTCTTGTTATGATAAGGATTATAGTTAGTTGATAAATCCAACTCAGTGAAAATGAAAATATTATTAATATACAATATTTTAACACATTTTTAGAAAGGGGACGTGTTTGTCCTCTAAGGTAACATGCTAAGTTAAGTTTCTTCTTTAAAATGTCATTATTAAAAACAACAACAACAACAACATTGTTGCTAATAACTAACGTATCCCATAATTAAATAATCAAAAAACAAAAAACACTACCCCTAGAATTTTGTTCATTAAAAAATATTTTTGTGTTTTATTTTTTTGCTCTTATTTATTATTTTTTGCTCTATAAATATGTAATATGTTTTTGCTCTATAAATATGTAAACAAACAGGCATTTAAATGGTTCCCATTCTGAAAACTAATGCATTCTTGATCGTTTCAATAGATTAAACTCAATGAAACTGGAAAATTAGCTCAATATATTATAATTTTGTGGCAATTTTTGTCCCGCAGAGGAATCTCTTAAAACGAAACATTAAAAAATGACAACAGTAAAGTGGATCTTTGAGCTTAGATTGATTAGATTGATAATTTTTCCCCCAAAATGCCAAAGGTCAAAAACATCTCTGCATAAATACCTAATACCATGCCATAGATGCTGCCACAGTATACGCAGTATTTCTTTACCTGATGTAACAGAGACCACAGAGCTGTCAGAACTGTTGTACTTCTGTCCTAAAGCTTTGACCCAGGCGCTGTAAACTGTTCCACACATCAGGCCCGAGACGACACAACTTGTATCTGTGCTTGTGCCAGCACAGGAGGTGTCGTGTCCATTTTGGTTGTCAAAGTAGGCGACGTAACCCACAGCGAGGTCGCTCTGCTGCCAGGACACAGTGGCAGTGAGTTCCTTACAAGCAAAACCGGCCTGAACGTTTGTTGGTGGGCAGGGCTCTGAATCAGAGAAAACACACACATGTAAATATAAAAAACAGGCATCGTCACAACCACACAATGCTGTCGCTGTACATCCCCTCCTGTAACTGACCAGTGAGGAGGTGGAAGGTTTCAGACGTCACACTGTCACAGGCCTGGTTGTGTGCCTTCACAGTGACGCTGTAGCTCTGACCACACTGCACACCCATCAGGAAGCAGCTGGTGTTGGTGTTGTTACAGATGACCGTCAGGCCCTGGTCGGTCACAGCCTCCACAGAGTAAGATGTGGCTCCACTTGCTGCGCTCCACATCGCCTGGGCGGTGCTCACGTTGTAGTGGACAGAGAGATTCATAGGAACACAGGGCTCTGGAGGGAAAGAACTAGATTTAGCTTCATTGAAGTAAACAACTCCCTCAGATTATGTTGAAACTATGATGAGTCTAAACATGTGGGGTTCTATTGACCTGTTGTGACTGTGGCAGGAGCACTGGCAGGACCAGGACAGCCACTATGCATGGCCTCAACAACGACAGAGTACTCCTGTCCACAAACCAGGTTGTTCAGGCTGCAGGATGAACCCATCTCGCTGCAGGAGGAGTTGTGTCCGTTAGTGGAGGTTGCCTGGACGCTGTAGGCTGTAGCTGCAGCAGCAGCAGCAGCGTTACTCCAACTGACCAGAGCATTACGTGTGGTACAGTTCAGTTCAGCTGACACGCTGCCTGGAGGACACGGGGCTGGAAAAGAGAGGAGAGAGGTAGAGTTTAGAAGAAGAGACTGACGCAAATGAGAGACACTTGAGGATGTATAAAAGTTTTTAAAATAGTGTATATTTTGGGAAATATGTTATTTGCTTTCGTGCCAAGAGTGAAAACAGAAACTTGATGCCACTGTCATGTTTGTTAAACTCATGCAAACCCTGCAGTGGTGGAGGAAGTATTAACATCCTTAATTTAAGTAAAAATACTAATACTCCACTTTAAAAGTACTCCGTTACAAGTTAAAGTTCTGCATTGAAACATAAAGTAAACAAAAGTATTTATGTTCTATTACAAAAATGTAGTTAAACTATAACAAGTGACAATATTCAAAGCAGAAAAATGTAATATTAATATATTTAAAAAGTAAGATATTACTACTGTAGTTGGTTAAAGTGAACCTCATTTGAACTATTTTGTAAAATGCTGCAACAAATGATTAGTTTCATTATTAATCTGCTCATTATTAACTTTATCCTAAAAATTTGATTGAAATTAAATATTAAAAATTGCACTACCTGTTTCCATATTTCTATTTTTACTTTATTGTATTCCATTTTATTTTATTTGATCTTTTTTTTGCACTGCATTCTCTGCATTTCCACCTTAGCTCTGAATCTGGGTCGTCTCATTTCACTGTGTGCTGTTCAGCTGTATGTGATTGAAATGCAAATAAAGCCTCTTTGAACTTTGAAAAATGTAAAAATTTAGAAAATAATGACCAATACTGTCACAAGTGCTCTAAACAATCAGAAGAGTTGCCAACTTTCTGTTGGTTGACTAGCTGATTAATTAACGAATCATTTCAGCTGCACTTGAATAAATTGTTGGGTAGTTTAATTTATAAAAAAAAAAATACATATTTTATAGGTTCTTTGTTGGTTTTTTTGTGTGCAAAATCTTAATTTGTAAAGTAACTAGTAGCTAAAACTGTCAGATAAAAGTAAAGAAAAGTAAAAAGTGCAATATTTTTCTTTTGAATGTAGTGAAGTAGAAAGACTCAAGTAGAGCAGAAGTGCCTCAAATTTGTGTTTAAAAACATCATGTTGTGGATTTAGTCATGATCCGTCTCTTGCGCTGACCTCCTAACTTCTGTGAGAGTTCCTGTTCTCACCTGTTTCCAGTGGTCGTCTCATGCAACTCTCACCAAGAACAGAATAAGCACATTTCCCCCCCCAAAAAAACTATTTTCTTTAAAAGATCATTGTCAAAGTAAATGTAGTGACTGTACCGGTGACCATCTCTACAGGAGCGCTGATCTCGCTCATGCACACGTTGGTGTGTCCCATCACAGTGAACGTATAGCGCTGACCGCAGCTCAGGTCCAGGAAGGAGCAGCTGCTCTGGGTGGAGTCGCAGGTGGAGTTCACACCTGAGGCAGACGCAGCTTTAACAGTGTAGTTCTGAGTTGTGCTGGCCTGGTTCCACTTCACCGTGACGGCATTGGAGCTACAGTTCTGGTCAACGGAGGTGTTCTCTGGTTTACAAGGAGCTACAAGTGGTTGAAAAGAAGAAGAAAATGTTAGAATTAATTCTCCAGCATACATTATTTGTAATAAATAATAATAATAATAATAATAAAAGAGCTGCACCCACCAGACTGAATCTTGTAATCAGAGCCAGCTATGACTTGGCAGTGGATGGAGGAGGAGGTGACAGCCACCTCGTAGATTTTGCCACACTGCAGGTCGTGGATGGAGCAGGAGTTGGAGGTTGAGTTGCAGGAGGCTCTGTGTCCGTCTGTGCTGATGGCCCAGGCGGTGTAGTCGTCTGAGCCCAGAGTCCAGCTCACATTCATCACGTTGGCGTTACAGTCTAACTCCGCTAGAACATCTTCTGGCAGGCATGGAGCTGCAAGAGACAGTCAGATATGAGTCCACAGTTTATATTCTACACATAGAGAAAGATGACAATGTGATAAGTGTACAAGGTTATACTGAATATTCCTACCAATGACTTTAGTGGTGCATTTGTAATTAGGACATTTTGAAGATGTATTGTCTCATGCATGTATCTCCAGTGTTTTTTAATTTTATTTTTTTCATTTTGCAGGTCCAATATTGTGCCCATTTTCAGCAAATGAAGTAAGGTCTCACATGGCAGAAGTAAATGTCTTCAAAGCTTAACACCTTTTATTTTATACCCCCAAGTTTATAACAACTGCAAAAATACAGTATATTGAAAATAGATTTTCACCATGTGGGACCTTCAAGGCTTTAGCTGCACCCTAATATGTTCTAATGCTGTCACACCATCAGGTTCTACAGTGTTCTGTTCATCCAAAGAGAAACTTAAGGGTTTCAGGCATAACTTTTATAAAAAATGAAATGTGGTGAAGATCTGGTTGCCTGACAATAACAAAAAAAAGTGAAATAGCTGCAGTTCAGAGTCACACACAGGCCTCACATTACAAGTTTAATTGTGTGTCTATGAAATACACAAGACGTGTGGGGTGTCTTATTTCTATCATAAAGACATGTATGATGTACACGATGAACAAAATGTATATATCTGCATCTTAAGCCCCTGTTTTGATCACCTATTCCTCTCCTGGTTGACTTTTGTTTGATGTTAGAAACTTTCTGATAAATGTCATGTTTTCACACACAACAGAATATTTCGTTTTGGAAGTTCTGATCTATTTGCTCAAAGACAAATCGTCAGTTTGAGAACTTCTGGTTCTTTAATGGATGTGGACTCAACAGAAAGACTCATACACGAGTCTTAGTGTATCCTAATGTGGTTGTTTGCGTCAAATTGGTTAAAAAAAAAAAACATTTAAGATGTGTGAAAAAGAAAAGAAAAGAAAAAAAACATTTGTTGTGGGACCACTGCAACAGGCATACATGTGCATCTGTAATGTACTGTTCACACCTACGGACCTGTTCTCGCTTCTTACCAGATTCAAAATGAATGTCAGTGTGCTTGGTGCTGTTGCAGCTTTCCGTGGAGGCCACCAGCGAAGCCGAGTACGAACGGCCGCACTGAAGTTTGACAGCACAGGAGGTTTGGTTGGAGGAGCAGGACGCCACGTGGCCGTTCTCTCCTGTCACCTCCACAGTGTAGAAAGCTGCTCCGCTGCTGTCGACCCAGGAGAAATTCCCCCTGTTGGTCCCGCAGTCCACACGAGCAGTCAGGTTTGTGGGCTGACAGGGAGCTGAAAGAGAAAAAAAAAAAAGGGAAACGGATATGTTATGTATGCTGATTTTGAATTATGATCAATTTTTTACTCTGCCTCTCGCAGCAGTTGCTATAGAAACACAACCCCACCTGTACTTATTTCTATGGGCGGACTGTAGCTGCTGCGGCACTGTCCGTCCTGGGCTGCAATGCGGAAAGCAAATCTCTGTCCGCACGGCAGGTCAGACAACATAAGTGAGGGGTTTGGGGTGGGGAGCTCTGCAGGAGGAAATGTGCCACCGATCCACTCGGAAAGCAAAACGTAGGTGGCTCCGGTCACTGGAGTCCACGTGAGGGTCTGTGTGTTGGCATCACAGCTGACGTGGCCCATCAAGTCAGCGGGCGGACACAGAGCTACGATGATACATGAAAGTTAGAAAGGATGATCTGCGTGTCAGTGTTTAAACATCTTCATCACAGCGTCCTCTCACCTGTTGTCAGCACTGCTGCAGAGCTGGGGTCACTCGGGCAGCCCCTGTCCACAGTTACCACAGTAACCGTGTAGGCTTCCCCACAGTGGAGGTCGGTGAAATTGCACGAGTTCGAAGAGTTGGAGCTGCAAGTGTGATTGTGTCCGTCACCCGAAGTCGCTGTTGCTATGTACATATCAGCCCCCGCCACGGGAAGCCAAGAGACGACGCTGTCCGCACAAGCTGCAGACGCCATGACGTTAGTGGGAGCACAAAGACCTGGAGACGAAAAAAAAAGGGTTTAGTGTTGTGTCTCTGAGCTGAAACGTGGGGATCGGTAGAATATCAGGCTTTTAAGCACCTGCGGTAAAGCTGTAAGCTGCACTGGGGTTTCCCGTGCAGGTGTGAGAGTACGGTGTGACCGTGATGCTGTAGGTTTCCCCACAGTGGATGTCTGACACTTGACAGCTGGTGGAGTTGGTGTTGCAGGGGTGCGTGTGTCCGTCCTGGCCTGTTGCTGTCACGTTGTATCCTACGGCACTGGGGCTTCCCACCCACGTCACCAGGGCTGAGCGGTTGGAACACATCAGAGTGGCGCTCACGTTCTTCGGGGCACACGGGACTGGATGAGGGGGGAAAAATTAAAAACACACATAAAGAATTAGCTGACATTTTATGAGCTTCAGCAACATTTCAGACTCAAAGGGAACGTCAGGGTACAAACTGAGGCGTCGTTTTATAGGTGGGTGGTCAGAAACATCAGATAAAGATTTAGCATTAATTTACTATCCTTTTTATAAGAATATGAAAGTTGAATAACAGTTATAAGAAAGCAGATGTATGCTGCCTGATTTTAGCACCAAAGAGGGCTACAGTAGTTCTGTGGTGGTTGGCATCAAGATGGTTTGTATTTTTGTCTCTGATGTTTGATTTACTAAAGTAAGAGATGCCATGCTTTGATGGTGATGACAGGCACAGCACGCATGTTTGTATCTTTATTAATGTGATCTAGAGATGACTCAACCTTTGAGCGTGAATCATACATCAATAACATCCTCGTTTCGCAACGGATCTGTGATGACGGAAATGAAATTCAAAGCAAAAACAGCAAACTGTTAATGTTTTCGAGAGCTCCAAAATGTCACTTATCGTGTTTTCAGAGGAGCTCGTGTCTTTTAAAGAGGAGCCAAGCTTCCCTTTTCTTTGGGGAAAACAGATGAGAAGACTGAAACCACTATCAAATATGCAGACACATTTTAAAAAAGTAAACAAGTCTGGTTCTGTCTAAAGATGATACAATTCTCTTAATGGCAGCCATGAACCTCAGTTATCTTCATGTTGTATTAGGCTTGTTTGACCCAGAAGAAACCAAAAGCGTAGAACCTTTGAGTCTGGGTTTTGCAGGTTGTATTTTCTTAATCTAACTCTGAGCAAAAAAAAGGAAACAAACATATATTTGCTTAATTTACCTGTTTCAAGGGATTCACTGACACTGACGCTGCTGTTGCACTGCGCTCCCTGAGCCTGGACATAGACACTAAAATCCAGGCCACAGGGAAGATTTTGGAACACACAGCTGGTATCTGCGGTGTGACAGCCATCCTGATATCCTTTTCCTGCTACCTGAGCAAAGAAACCAAGGCTCCCCACTGGGTCAGTCCAACCAAGCACGGCTGTGTTGGTGCCACAGATAAACTGTTTAGATGTGATCGCTGGAGGACAGGGAGCTGAAAAAGAAATCAGAGGACAGTTAGTGAGTTTACCAGGCAGGAGAAGGTTAGTATAGTCGTGTCCACTCACCTGTAGTAATGTTGGTGCTGGCTCCAGGTAAACTGTCACACTGGTTTCCTCGTGCAGTGACCGTGGTCACGTAGGTCTCGCTACACAGGAGATCTGTCAGGGTGCACGAAGCGTTGGCTGAGCTGCACGAGACTTTGTGTCCGTTTGCAGCCGTCGCATTAACCGTGTAACCCGTGGCATCGGCCATCGGCAACCACGACAGGAAAGAGGAATTGGTGCCACAGATCAGAGTTCTGTTCTGGATAGAGGGAGAGCACGGAGCTGAGAGGGAGACAGAAACGAACAGGGGTCAGTAGGGTTTATGGTAAATACATGTTTGCTCATAAAGTTGGAATAGTTTTTGTCTACGGACACATTCTTCTTTTTATTTCTATTTATACACATCAGTAATCACTTTTGACCAGATGCAATGATTACATACTGTTACCAGGTGAAACAATTTCTGACTTTGGGATCAGACTGAAGAGGACGTCCTGCCCACTGACACCATCAACACGCTTGTGGACAGTATGCCATGAAGTCTTCATGCAGTGATCCGTGTCAGGGGTGGCCAGACTCAATATTAGTGGCTGACATTTGAAAGAGTAATATTGGACATTCTTATGCATGAAATCCACTCGAATATGTGAAGAGTTCATTTGAAAAAACTCCATTTTTGTAGATTTTCAGAAAATTTATTTTTTGGTTGTTTGCTTGAGATAATGTCAATCAAACTGAGTGGATTTGACTCAGAAAAAATGACATGACAAAAATAGAGATAGCTTAAGTTTGACTGATATAGTCTCAGGTAGATGGTGGAAAAGTGGGTTTTCTGAAGGTTTGTGAAGATGGAGTTA